TTATAACTTTACCAGTGTAGCACAGTCATATAAGAAATTTTTAAAAGAACAAACATTTACTGAAAATATACGGGATAATTTGAAAATAAGGGTCTTTTGAGTAATTTCAAAGTAAGTCTAGTGGGAATCTAAAAGACCATAAAAAAACATGGGAAGAAATATCCAGAGAGAATTAAGAAGAATTTCTCAGAAAGAAAGGCACACTTTATCTTAAAGTAGAAGTTTTGGAAAAGTAAAGAAGCTGCAGGTAAATAAAGATAAAAACAATCTTAAATTCAGGAAAAATAGGCAACTTTTCTAAAAACAAGTAACAATAATGATGACAGAGGGTCTTTTACAGTGCAAATAGAAGACAAGAAATAAATGCCTGCAAAACGCCAGACGAGGACCATAGTACTCAGTAGCTCCCAGTCCAGCCTACATACAGTGAAACTGGTGGAGGAGCACAAGAACTTTCTTTTTTCTTTAAGATTTATTTATTTGAAAGGCAGAATTGGAGAGAGAGAGGGAGATGAGCTTCCATTACTGGTTCATGTCCCAAATGGCCTCAGTGGCTGGTACTGGGCCGATCTGAAGCCAGGAGCTTCTGGGGGCCCAGGAATTTGGGCCATCTTCCACTACTTTCCCAGGCGCATTAACAGGCGCTAGTTCAGAAGTGGAGCAGTCAGGACTCCAACCAGCACTCTGATACAGAATGCTGGCATTGTAGGTGATCTGACTCACTGCACCACAGTGTCAGTCCCCAAGTAATGTGAAATTTTACCACTTAGAGAACCTTACTGAAGCTTTAAAAATAAGCATCTTGACTGGTTGAAGCAGAGCAAGGTGGTTGCTGAGTAGAATCCTACGTCGACCATCTCCCCACCTTGGGACAGTTATTCACATTCCAATCTACTTTTACAAGAACTAAGGAAGCCAGGTGAGAGACAGTGTGCCTCGTTTTATTCTAGAACAAGCCTGCCATGGTGAAACCTAGTGCCAGGCAGAACCCTCCCTAGTCCCTGCCTGTAGGCCAGCATCTGCAGATGGAGCCTCTGGAACTGCATTAGCCAGGTGGCCGTGTGACTGTGTCTACTTCCCCAGCCCCAACCTTGGACAGCGTGTCTTGAAAGAAGACGCTGCCTGTTTGGATGTGGGGCAGGAAAGTGAGCACAGCTCTAGATTTTGCAGAATGTAGATAGAGCTACACAATGGACTTACAAAGGAACTAAGCACTGTTCCACCTCAACATTAACTCTAAACCTCTGGTGCTTTCCTCTGTGGAGAGAGGGTGAGCCAGAGGACCCTGGCAGTACCTGCTCATGCCACTGAGGCATTTACCACTGGAGAGCCCTGTCTCTGTCGTTGGCTCTGAACCCCACACAGGGTCTTGCTGTATGGAGCCATCTGGAGACCCCTCCCACCCCAAGTCCTCTGAAGCTGCTGTCCAGAGTGAGGAAGAAACAGGGCAACTGGTGAATTACCTGGCTGTGCAGACTTCAGTGGCCTGGAGGATGGCACGTGGCCAGGGAGAATTGAAAGCTCAGGTTTCTGGGAGCATGAACAGGCTGGCAATAGCTGAGAGCCGCTCTGAGACCCTCACAGGGCGGCCAGGAAGTGGAGAGTCCCTTCCTTGCCATTTTTTATTTTTAATGATTTATTTATTTATTATTTGAAAGGCAGAGTTTCAGGAGGAGGCAGAGGCAGAGAGAAAGAGGTCTTCCATCTGCTGGTTCACTCCTCAAATGGCTGCTACAGCTGGAGCTGTGCTGATCCAAAACTGGAACCCAGGAGCCTCCTCCGGGTCTCCCATGCAGGTGCAGGGGTCCAAGCACTTGGGCCATATTCCACTGCTTTCCCTGGCTATAGCAGAGAGCTGGGTCGGAAGTGGAACAGCCAGGACACGAACCAGCGCCCAATGGATGCTGTCACTGCAGGCGGTGGCCTCACTCACTAAGCCACAGTGCCAGCCTCTCCTTGCCCTTCTAACTTCAAGAAGTCAGGGCTCCCAGGTCAAAACCTTGACAGACAAGATTATTACATGGGATGATGCAAAAGCGAGTCGCTGTTGTTGCATTTGCGATTTTGGTGTGGGAGAAAGACAAAGATGTAAAGTGTAGTTAAAACCCCTTAGTGCTCAGTTCTAATTTGAATTATCGGTGTGAACTCTGTGTATTTTTCTTTAAGATATTTTTTAGTTTTTCAATAAAGGAGGCCTAGAAATAAGTACAAGCTCAGTATTAATGAATTTCACTAGCCCCCAGACTGCAGTGTCTATAGACCATTTCTTGGGGGGTATTAATGTAATACTTGTTCATTTTTGTGAGGTACAATGCAATACTCCAACACATGTTCACAGTGTAACTAATCAAGTCAGTTTTGCACCAGTTTATTAGCATTTTTAAAAAAAGATTTATTTATTTATTTGATAGAGTTATGCAGAAAGAGAGAAAGAGAGAGGTCTTCCATCTGCCGGTTCACACCCCAGTTGGCCACAATGCCCGGAGCTGAGCTTATCTGAAGTCAGGAGCCAGGAGCTGCTTCTACAACAAAAGGATAGTCTAGAAATATTGCCTATGTACTTTGAATATGTTAAACCTTATCCTAAATGGTTTTTAGATTATGAAGTATATCAAGACAAGTTATAAATATTCAGAAATAGAGTTTCTGTTAAGGAATTATTGGAGCTAAATTGCCCTAATTCAGTTCCTGAACTGTAGGAACTACTAGTTTTATAAACCCTGGACATAAATAACTCAATGAAGATAGCAAGTCCTAATACTATGCAGCGGTGAAAGCAGTGTGTTTACTTTCTGAATTGAAAACATACCATGCAACTGTGTTTATGATGATAACAGAGCACAGGTCATCATGAAATCAAAACCTTTCATGATACACTATGGTGTAACAGAGTCTGTGCATGGTGTAGTCAGTTGGAGAAGCTATTGTCTTACTCACGCAGTAGTGGTTCACCTGGTGATACCACAGACTGGAGACACAGACGAACCTTCCACTACAAATGTGTATAAGCCGTATATAAAGCAATTGTCTTCTCAATGTGCATTTGCAAAATAGTTTGGGAAGTCCCCAGGAGGTTAGTAAGTTTGGAAGTAGAAAGTTTTGTTTCTTTTGGATTATTTACTGGTACTAGGAACTTGGAAATCTGAATCTTAACAGCTGTATGGAGACCGGGAAAATCATCACGGACCACACAAGACAAAGAAGAGAAGCCAGGACTCCTACCTAAAGCCAGTGCTTTTGAGGATTGATTGATGTCTTTAGAAAAATTTGAGCTAGCAAAATCTTACAAAGGGAGTTAACAATGAACATTCAACCAATAATTTCTCTGTTATTATTTCCTTGGCTCTTTCTTGGCAAAGGTCAGGAGTCTGGGACAGAGGAAGAAGGAATGTCTTATTTTCATATTGGTTCAGAGTTCAAATTGATTTCATGTTTTTTGAATTCAGAAAAATCCAAATAATCTGAAAAGCCCCCAGATTTGTGCTGTAAAAGAGAAGGAGGAAGAAAATGCAATTTCCCTATAGATAAATACATCTCACACTAGAATGCTCAGTTTTCCTTTGAATTAAAACTTGGAAAAAACAAGAAGCCTATAATCTAAAAGTAGAAAATATCAAGAGGGGCCAATAACTAAAGTGAAATAATTTTTCCATTAATATCATTATTTCTAAGATAAGAGAAATATATTTTTTAAGGATTTATTTATTTGAGAGGAGTTACAGACAGTGAGAGAGAGACAGAGAGAAAGGTCAACCTTACACTTTTTTGGTTCACTCCCTAAAGGGTCGCAATGGCCGGAGCTGTGCTGATCTGAAGCCAGGAACCAGGAGCTTCCTCCCAGTCTCCCACGTGGGTGCAGGGGCCCAAATGCTTGTGCCATTCTCTGCTGCTTTCCTAGGCCATAGCAGAGCGCTGGATTGGAAGAGGAGCAGCTAGGACTAGAACCAGTGCCCATATGGGATGCTGGTGCTGCAGGCGGAGGATTAACTCATGACCAGTTCCAAGAAAAATATTTTTAAAAATTTAAAGCCACATGAAAATGAGTAAAAATCATCAAGATATGCTTTAAGGCAGATTAAAAAGTGAAACTTAATAAAAAAAAGTAACACCCAATTAATGGCTAATAAATAATAGTTTAAACATGGCTAAAGAGAGACTTATTAAATTAGAATATTGTGCTGAAGAAATTATTCAGAACACAAATTAGAAAACAGAGATGGAAAATATGAAAAAATTAAGAGATATAGAGAACATCATTATGAGGTTTAATACAAAGTAAGTTGAATTTCAGTATAGTAAGTGGAGCAAATAAATTTAGGAAGAGGTAATAACAGGACTTCCCCCCAAAAAATCATGACATGGATTGAAGTTTAAAAATAGATATTATATGACAAAGTGAATGTAGAAGGGATATCACAATGCATACATTTTAGTAAAAATCAGAATACTTAAAACTACTACAAGATATTAAAACTAGCCAAGAGTCAAGGGAATTTTCCTCAAAAGGGAAATCTCCATGATGGTAGTGTAATTCTCAAAGTCAGAGTGTAAGCCTCCCCCTCCATCAATAAGAAATAATTTCTCCAAAGTACAGAAAACATCATTGCACTACAACTGGATGTCTTGCTATGGAGTTTTTTCAAGAAACAGTACAACGTAAAGATTATTTTAGATGAACAAAGGGACAGTGTACCTCACAGAACTTCACTGAAGGCAGTTTCATGGAATGTAATACAAGAAGGAAGAAAACAATCTTAGAATGAAGATCTGAGATGCAAAAAGAAATGGAAAGTCAGCAAACTTATAAGGATACAAATTAATCTAATTGATGTGGCTATAGTACAGAAATATCTACAAGGTACTTGCTGGCGATATTTCTCAAGATACCTTTGTTGTGATAGAAAATTTGTTATCCCACATTAATTGTTTTTTTTTTTTTTTCAGAAAGAAAATTTCTGTGAAGTATGTAAAATTATTCTAACAAGAGTGGAAAACACTCTTTAGATAAATTTCCTTAGCCAGTTACTGTTCCTTTCCCATATGTTTTGCATAATTTCTATTATGTGCTTGTCAGCCCTAATTAGCACCAAAGGACTGACCGTGCAGTAGCCATGGGACACAAGTATCTGGATGCACACCAGGATGGGGTCATTGGTCCATGTCGTGCCTGTGGAAACTGAAATGATGATGTCCACACAGTATCCAATCACAAAGCAGCTCACCAGCAGCAGGATTGTCTTAGTGGCCCTCTTCTCTGGGGAGCTCCTTGGAGAACAGCTCATGCTGTGGAGATGCTGGGACCGCCGCGCATGTCTGTACAAGACGAGTATCATGTAGCCACTCGAAACAGCCATGAGCCCAATGAAGAAGACATCTCTAAATGTCATCAGGGTGAAAAACAGGGCCCTGTGGACAGAGCTCATGGGCAAGAAGGAGCAGTGGTCCGTGAGGAAGAGAAGTCCAGGCTGGGTCTCATTGGGTGCGGCCACCGTATAGAGGAGCAGGTTGCTACAGATGCATGAGGTCAGGGCCCATATGAAGAGAGAGAAACAGAGGAGGAAATGTGGGGATCTACATTTGAACTGCGCCAACCAGGAGCTACCGGGGCTGATGGTGACGGCCTGAAGGGTGCTCAGGAGGCCCGTGGTGGCAATGGAGAGCCCCCGCATGAGCTTGTTCAGGAAGACGATCACTTTACACCAGATGTCGCTCTGAGCGTCGCTTGCTCCCCACAGGTCCATGGACAGCAGGAGCCCCATGGTGAGAAGCATCACTATGTGGACCACAGCCAGGTGAGTGACGGTCAGGTCCGTAAGCTTGGGCTTGGGGCCCACGGAGAACATTGAAATGTGCAGGGAAAGAAGGACTGAGTTTGCCGAGATCCCAATGCCAGCTTGAGGATAAAAGGCATTTTTTAAGGCAATTAACTGGAACATTTGTTCATCTTCATGAGGACATTCAACCAAGTAGTTAGGGCTAGGAAGAAAAGCAGGAGCGTGTGACAACAGCACTGTCCTCACCGGCAGGTTCCCAGTCACCACATCAACATCTCCAGAATCGTCACTTTATCCAAAATAATTCGACATGGCTCCGATCAGCTCTTACTCATCGTGTAAGTGCACAACACGCACCACTCATTCCTCCAAGGAAGTTACCATCTGGTGGTGCTCATGTCACCCCCTTCTCTGTGAGCAGAGACCCCTCTACCTCATCTGCTCCTGAGTCCTGTACACTCTCACGGGCAGCTTCTGCTGACTTTCCCACGAGAGATGCTTTCTTACTAGTCTTTGGATCTACAGTGCCTGAAACACAGCTGCTTACCTAGAAATTGCTCCCCACAGTCCGCTGGTGTAAGTTCTGGACAAGTGGAGGTAAGAATCTTCTAGCTGAATAATCCCAACAGGCCCGTTCTCGTGGTTTAGTCGCAGGTGTTCAAAGTCATGAGGGCTTAGCAGAACAAGCCCGAGACCCAGACCCTGCTACTCTTAGCTCAGCATCAGCGCAAGAGGGCGGTAGCGGAAGCACTTGCCTGATGGCGTTGTTGGGAGAGTGCGTGTCAGTAATGGAGAGCGTTTAGAGACTGCCTGACACCTGGAGCACTGTGGCGATGTTCCTCACTGACGCATTACCTCATCACCTTACTGCGGCTCAGAGCAGATACTGCAGCGTAGCGGCGATTTCATGGCCGAGAGAAGAAATGACCACCGTAACACTAGCTTCCTTTGACAAACTTTCACCCTTGGACACTGATGGTATTCTAATCTAGCTGTTGTTGTGGCGTGTTTTTTTTTTTTTTTTTAGCTTTTCTATTTTCCCCAGGAAATTCAGATATTTCCGACATTCAGAACCAATTCCTGGAAAACAGGAAGCTGGCCAGAGGGGGTCTCCTTTTCAATTATCAGTAAAGTGGTACATACAACTTTTTATTCCCTCATTTTTCTCAGACCTGTGTATTAGGGAAGCTGCCTCTCCCAGGTATCTCGTTCAATGATAACAAGGCGCTCTCTACACAAGACGCCTATTGCAGGCTGTTCAGTCATGACCTGAAAAACATTTGCTGCTTAGAGGTAGGAGCTAATTCCTCAAGTCTCCTTTAATTGATCTTTCATCATTACCTGGAGTTCTGCACAATAAAAATCGCATTGAGCAACAGGGACATGATCTGAATTCAGGCATTTTATTCAAGCTCTGAAATATTCCATGCCTTACAAGTCTTTGATCTGTGTGACATGTGAAATCTCTTTCACAGTCCCCATATCAGTAGTAAAAATATGGAAAAAAATGACTTGAATGATTCGTTGTGATTGTACAGCTGACACGGTGCTCACAGGAGCAAGGCCAGACCATGAAAGGAATGCAGGGAAACACTGGCTCCTTCACAGGGAGCCACACTCTCTCTGTGCACCAGGAAAATTCAGTGTGGTTGGTATAAAACCACAAGACAGTTGTGGATTAAACAAATGACAGTGTGAGGCCAGTGCCGTGGCACAGCGGGTTAAGCTGCTGCCCGTGACACAGGCATCCCATATGGGTGGCAGCAGATGGCCCAAGTGCTTGGGACCCTGAACCCATGTGCGGAACTTGAATGAAGATCCTGCTCCTGAGTTTGACTTGGCCCAGCCCCAGCTGTTGCAGCCATTTGGGAAGTGAACCAGCAGATAGAAGATTCTCTCTCCCTCTTGCCCTCTTTCCCTCTCTCACTGCCTCTCTGTGTCCCTCTCCATCTCTAACTCTGCCCTTCAAATAATTTTTTTAAAAAAGAAATTACAAGGAAAGAAGAACTTCCAGATGAGCGGCTGGAGGTAGGACAGATGTTTTCACTTCAGGGAAATCTTGACAGGATGCATATTGTGATGGCATCAATAAATAAAAGAGGAGACCCAGCAGATGGAAGATTCCCACACTGACCCCCCCATCTCAACACCCGCCTCTTGCCCTGGCCTCTCCCTCTCGCTTTCTCTCTAACTTTGCCTTTCAAATAAAAAAAAATCTAAACCACAAACGACAGTAGAAGCTGTTTGCTGCTGGAATATTTACTACCCCAAGGTATTTGCATAGACTTCAGAGATGGGAAACAGGAGATGTTCTCATCACACACACATGCTCAACCTGCTGGAAACCCAAGCAGCAAGCCTGGAGGTGTTTCTGTAGATAAGAACAAAGTGGACCTTTGATCAAACAACTTGCCTGTTCTTGGGCATCTCAGCAATCAGCAGAAGGGAACACACTCACTCTTAGTAAGTGCGATGAAGCATTCGATTTCCAAGAAACCCAAGCATGTTGGATGTAGAGCCCAGGCGTTTGGAGCAGTCCCAGTGAGTTTCACCCTGTCATCCTGCGGCAGGCACACACGTCACCAAGGGGAAAAGAGGATTGTCTACCACGAGTCAGTTTAAGAACCACTGGAAGTGTTCTCAGTTGCGTGGCCACTGACTGAATTCTTCACCTAAGACATCCCTTACAAGATATTCATGAGCCCTGGGAGACAGCTGGCTGCAAAGGAGTGGGCAACCATGACTTTGAGTCTCCTTCTTTAAAACTGCCCATGCTCCCCGAGATGGTATTGTTAACTATTTGGGGACCAGGAAGGGGAAGTGGCCTGGTGATGATACAGCTATCATTTTTTCTGCAACCCCACCAGTTACTGGGGGACAGGCATGACTGACATAACATGTGTACCCCAAATGTGAGGATTGTGCTAATTCAGAGACTGCACTGAAATTCTATTTGGAAAGTGTTTTTGTGAAGCAACTTTGCAATTTAGTTCATCGCCATTTGAGATTTTGGGAGGGAAGAGCACTGAAAAATCCTTCTGAATATTAAGCATGTTTGATCAAAAGATGAAAGACTTTTTCCTCTAAGTTATTATCAGCTGCTTTTATTTATTACAGGAAATTCAGTGAAATGATAGTAAAGCAATTTATTGTCTTCGTTCTAGAGGCTTTAGTAATAGAGTGAAACTAAATAATTTAATGTCTGGAATTGAATTCTGTGTCTTTCATCAGTGATGAGTTACTAAGGGATGGCACTAAAGCTAACATTAGCTGGGAGAAGATGATTCCACACAGAAGGCAGATATCAAGGACAGAAGTTCTCTAATTTAAAGAAATATCACTTACTGCTGGATACATGGACCCCTGTGGTTGTCAGCAATAATATCACAGCAAAACCATGACAGATACCATGTTTTATTTCATCACGCATTTGAATTTATTCTATTGTAGTGCCTTCTTGCATCCCTAGAGCACTTTAAAGAAGCATAAAAGGTGCTTGACTGAAACGATATATACTGGTACTGGGAAGGAAGACTGAATCACTCAGGTATCATGTAGCCAAGAGCATTTTAAAAGAATGCAGTATCAGGGGGACTGGCATTTGGCCTTATAACCGGTTAAGAGACGCCACTTGGGACACCCATGTCCCATATCAGAATACCTGTGTTCACGTCTTGACTCTGCTCCCAATTCCAGCCTCCTAGTGTATACCTTGGAAAACAGTGGCTGATAGATCAAGTATTTGGGTCCCTGTCACTCACATGGGGGACCTGGGTTGAGTTCCTGGCTCCAGGTTTCTCTTCCCTTTGTAGGCATTTGAGGAATGAAACAGCAAATGAGTGTTGGGCTTCCATCTCTCAAATAAATTAAGATTTAAAACACCATCTTAAAAATGCAATGTCATTAGTTTATTGCAAGTATATGTTACATATTTTATGTGAACTTGATACCAAAAATTAGATTTTTTTAGTAGCAGTATCTTTGAGCTTGTAAATTACCAAACCTTTATCTGGAAAATTTTAAGTCATAGAATTGAATGTAAACTAATAAAATGTAGAACTCGCTGGTCTTTTGGATTATCATTACTTTATCCTAGAGAAATCACTATCTAAGGTAATGCTTTACTTATATTTAGGTTATGGTAATATCATGAAATAAAAATCATGCAATTGTTCAAGAAATACTGTGAATGTTCAAAGAAGTCCTGTAGCACATTAGGAATAAATACCTGTGTCCCGGTTATGATTTAGTGAAAGCCGGTGCCTCCCTGGGCGCCGCCTCTGCTTCCTCTTGTGCTCACTGCTGCTTAGGTTGCGAGTTGAGGCTGCTGGGTGGGATTTTATGGAGATGATGCTGTCAGCCCATCTCTCTGAAGACTGTAATTTTGGTGTTGCTGCTGTCATCTGAAAGCACCTGTCTTGTGGTAGGCAGAGAGGGATCCCCAAGGAAAGGAAAGACACTTCCTTCATCCTCAGACGATGGTAAACAAGTCACGTCTGGATGAATCTTGTGTGCCTGTGGAGCTCCCATTTTCCAAAGTCAGAGGGCCTGGATTGTTCACTGGATACCAATGATGGCAGTCAGTTTAAGGAACCAAAGGCTGATCCAAAGATGATAGGGCCTGGTGTGCGATGCAGTGAAGTGTTCTGCAAGTGGAAATTAAAAAAAATATATCTTTCTGAAATCTGTCCTCTGCAGATAGCTGAAAGCCATGAGACCCCAACATCAGTGAACATACCTCACAGCCAAAGTTTGATTTCCTTTGAATTGATAATTTCTTTTTTCTTGTAATTTTTTCTTTTTCTTTTTTTTTTTTTTGCATTTTGAGTTAACAGGATATATACATTTTATAGAGTGGGATACAGTATTTTAACACATACACACAGCATAGAAATGATCACATGGGACGAGGAACCCTTCCGTCTCCTTTTTTGCAGAGTGCAGCTACCCTGCTGTTCTGTGCAACACCACAACACCCAGTACCTTCAACCAGTTGCATTTTCATGCCCATTGTCAATTCTCCCCCAACCCTCACACTTCCAGCCTCTAGTAGTCCCTATTTTATTTTTTTAAATTTTATTTATTTATCAGGGAGGGAGAGTGAGCAGCTCATATCCACTAGTGTACGCCCAACATAGGTGAGAGCCAGGAGCTCTATCCGG